GTGGTGTTTTGCCTGTTAAAACTAGTTACAGCAGTGTTTCTCTCTCTTTCTTTCTTTCTCTTCCTTTCTTTCTTACTTTCTTTCTCTCTCTCTTTCTTCTTTCTTTCTCCCTTCCTTCCTTCCTTCCTTCCTTCCTTTCTTTCTTTCTTTCTTTCTTTCTTTCTTTCTTTCTTTCTTTCTTTCTTTCTTTTTCTTTCTCTTTCTTTCTTTCCTTCCTTCCTTCCTTCTTTCCTTTTTTCTTTTTCTTTCTTTTTTTAGAAACAGATTCTCACTGTGTCCCCGACGCTGGAATGTGGGAGTCTGAGGTGCTGTGGAACGGTCTCCACTCACTGCAAACTCCACCCCACAGGCTCAAGGGATCCTCCCACCTCAGTACCTGGAGTAGATGGGAATACAGGCGCATGCTGCCATGCCTGGCTAATTTTTTGCAGAGATGGGTTTCACTATGTTGCCCAGGCTTTTATTGAACTTCTGGACGCAAGCAATCCATGTGACTTGTGCTCCCCAAGTGCAGGGATTACAGGTGTGAGCCACCACACCCAGCCAGCAGTCTTGATAATACAGAAGACTTTTTGTTGTTGTTGTTAGTTCATATTTTTTATTAACTTATACTTATCTTCTGGTTTGTTGAAGCAGTAAGTCAGACAACATTTGCCACAATAATGTCTGTCAAAGTGGCTTTCCATAAACACTCCAGCACTGCATTCATCAGAAGGGCACTCTGGACCAAGGCAACTAATTTTGCCATTCTCATCCACTTTATAATATTTCAGGACAGCCAGCTTAACCTTTCTCTTGTGTTTATTCTTCTTGGGAATGGTGAAAGACTTCTTCATTTTCTTAGCACCACAATGGGGTCTCAACACAAGATGAAGAGTAGACTCCTTTTGAATGTTGTAGTTAGACAACATTCCAGTTAATTTTACACAATCAACCTATACTTTTTTCTTTATGCCTTTTAAATTTTATGTTATACTTGACAAAGCATTTTCCACACTAAGATTATGTAGCTATTCTATTGTTTTCATTCCATAGTATTTATATTTGCTCATAAATTTGTTTCTTTGGTCCATCTTAAATTTATTTTGTGTCTTAGAGTGAGTACAGATCTAATCTCAGAAAACATTTTTCCCAAATGCAAACTCAGTCAATCAACTCTCCTGCCTGCCCTTGGTCAAAATCAGCCTCATGGAATTTTGCTCCCAATTCAAGTGTTTAATGAGGGATGCTAAAAGCTAGATCTAACGCATTGTCCTAAAACATCTCTCTTTATCTGGGTTATTGAAAGAAAACCATCATTTTTCCTTTTAACACATTTAATTTAAAATCAGTAATGAGGCCCCCTAGGTTTTATTCTCCACATTACCTAATATACTGCTCTATGCATAGCAGTGATTAAAAATATCTGTGGGCTTAAAACAGGAGCTAGAGAAAGGAATGTAAAGAAGAGTACAACACTATTTATGCCTTCAAAGTTAACCAAGCAGAGTAAGATATACTTTATTCAACTATGTTTAAGTCGAGGAACAAAGTGAAGATGAGAGAGGAACAAAGTGAAGATATATTTCATACTTGGTTTTTTCACCGTCCTGACAAAGCATTTAGGATGTTTATAGATAATATATGCAAACCATTCAGCCCAGTGTCTACACATAGTAGGTTTTCATGATTGGTAATTAGAAAATTATTTCCTATTAGTTCAAGGATTTAATAGAGGGAAAGATTTCTTTACCATGGAATCTTCAAGTTTCTAAGATGAGATAGTTTCATGTAGGAAATAAAAACCTAAACACTCTACTACATATTAAATTTTAAAATTATCATGATTATTTACCACTACAGCTTAAAAACAACTGACATTGATAGTCTCTTCCTAAAACTAGACAAGAATCTCACAAAAAATCAAAAAAGATAAATATTAATTGGTGTTATTTCAAATTATATGTCTCTACTCTTCAATCATAGCCTACATTTATAGATTCTAAATTAAGACCAAAGCAGGAATGAAATAAATGTATAAAATACTATGACTTTAATGTCATATGTTAGGATAAATCAATAGAAGAAATAAATTCAAAGTGGCAGAAATAACCACCTTTGACTTTCTTGGCATTTAAAACTTTTGGGCTTGGGGAATCACTGATGTGGCACTTTAAGGGGATTTGATTTTATAGGCTCTTTAGCCCAAGAGTTTTTAGGAATACCAAAAGTGGCGTGGCCTTGGAGATAAGACAGGCATCACGCTGTCACTGTGAAGCTGTTTGTTTTTAAATGGCTTGTTCTCAAGTTTGAATCCATAATCCACTGGTAGAAAAGCTTTAGACTTGATTGCAAAGATGAAAGATGCTCAGAAGCCATTACCTTATAATGGAAAATTGATAGATAAGTAGACCATAGAAGTTTAGACTCTGACCTAAAGGGAAGTGGAGAATTTAATTGAGATAATTATCTTTTTAACTTTGGGCAAAATTAAAGTTTACCTTTAAAAGTGTCAGATCATTAATGCCAAAGTGCTGATCCTCATTCACTCAAATGGAAGGTGAAAAGAAGTTACTAAAATTGTCCAGCTTTATTTAAAACATTATAAATCACAATTTTTTATTTAAACGCATTTAAAATGTGCAGAAAGCTCAAGAACTTGGAAAATAAGAGAAAAGGTACCCCTAAATGTTATTATTTAAATAGAAAACCTTCCTTTATTACTTTGCTTTTTCTATCTGGAATAAGAGAGGATGCATTTGCCTTTAGTATTCTGATCAAAGAAATGAGAAAGAAAAAGGTGGATGTTAATAGAGGTCATCTCAAATTAAATCCTTTTGCTCTTCAATCATAGCCTGTATCTGTTATATTCTAAATTAGGACAAAAGCAGAGACCAAACTGATTTATGAAATGCTGTGGCTGTAAATAGCTTATGTTCAATAAATTAACACAGAGGAGCATATGCTGTGGGAATTAACTGAAATCTATTATCATTGATAAAAAATTAAATTTCTGCCTTCAAGTCTTTAGGCATAATTGCTAGATAATTGCTAATTATTGATCTCTGAGATTAAACTGATGTCCCATTGGAAGCCTGATTCCCCGATCAGTGCTAGGTCATGATCACTACCTCAACCAGGTCAGACTTAAACAAGTAACTATATGCCAGTCTTCCAAAAGGCACTGTTAAGGAGCACTCAAAACCCCATTTAGGAAACATTGCAAGGTTAGAGGACAGTCTACTCCCTCAAAGAGCAGCCAATAAAGGGCTATTTCAGCAGCTTTGAGGGGCATGGGGTGAAGCTTGAGAGTGGAAAATGAAAACTAGACTGAGTAGTAATAACTCACCCTGCTAAGTCAATCTTCTCTGCTTGAGGCTTCTAGGGCACCTTATTTTCAAATCAGATTAAATTAGCCAAATAAGTAGAGAAATGCAGGCACAAAGTCAAGTAATTAAGCTAAAAGATATGATTTGAATTTAATTATCTATGTATTTTAGGGCAAAATATAATTTAGCCAAAAAAAAAAAAAGGAGCAACGTTTGAAAAGCCATCTCATTTATTCACCTCACATTGGGAGTGCAGATACAATATTTGAAATGTAGGTTCTCTGAGTATTAAAAGATGTATAGTAACTGGGATGTGTTTCTGTAGTGTATTATCTGTTTTTAAAATTCAAATGCTTTAAAACTTTGCTTGGAATTATTCCAAGTGAAGGACATGAAATTTTAAAAGCAGCATATGCATCGTGATTTTAGGAAATCAGAGACTTTGGCAGGGCGCGGTGGCTCACGCCTGTAATCCCAGCACTTTGGGAGGCCGAGGTGGGTGGATCACAAGGTCAAGAGATGGAGACCATCCTGGTCAACATGGTGAAACCCCGTCTCTACTAAAAATACAAAAAATTAGCTGGGCATGGGGGCGCGTGCCTGTAATCCCAGCTACTCAGGAGGCTGAGACAGGAGAATTGCCTGAACCCAGGAGGCGGAGGTCGCAGTGAGCCAAGATTGCGCCATTGCACTCCAGCCTAGGTAACAAGAGCGAAACTGCGTCTAAAAAAAAAAAAAAAAAAGAAACCAGAGACTTCAAATTCTGTCACAATGAATTGTTCTCATACCTTGCTATATGGTTATTCCTTTATTCCTTTAGTACTTTGTCTTAACGTAGTCTCTGGATTATTTACATAAATTTCTCTTTTTGATTCAAATGTTCCATAATATATCATCTTTATTTTTAGAGGCTTTTTATGTGTAAAATTTAAAAAGGCATTCACTCATTTGCACAATTATTTGACAAATGTTACTTAATGCCTGTCTGGAGTCATGCAGAATGCTAAGTACTGGCTTGTAATGGTAGGTTTAAATGGGCACTGTTTGTGGACTCACGCAGATGGAGTCCAGTAGGGGGACAGATACTGCAAAAATCACCACATGAATGAACACTTAAAATTTAAAGTAACTGCTGTAAAGGAAAGCCATTTGATTCAATGACCATGTGAAAAATGTCTCATCAAAAGAATTTAGTCATAAATTCTGAGTAAAATATTTATTTATTTGTGACAAGCACCAGGATATTCCTCTCTGGTTTTTATAGATAAGATTTTGTCCTAAGAAATATGAGGAAATTGTTACAAAACCTAGAATGAATGCAGACAAGATATGCACAGTGTAGAAATACTGTTTCCTGCCGTCTTCAGCAGACAAACATTTTTACAATGTTTGTGAAGTGGGAAGAGAACACATCAGAAATCATCTGAAAGAAGAAAATAAGGTCAATATGCTAAAAATGTTTCCTTCCATCGAGTAGACAAATTGCTTCTAAAAGGGTCAGGATTCAGTTCAGGTTGTGTTTCGTTTTTGGTTTTTAACCCAAGTGGGCAAAAATAGTTTTTAACATATCACTTGTAGAAAATTCTCAGTTTAAATGTGTGTGTGTGCAAGATTATTGAATACATGCTTATTTTTAAATGTTTTCCAGTGATTGATAAGAGCTTGTATCGTGCTATCTTTGTTCTGTCCCAGGAGATTATGTGGTCATGTGTGTCTACTTTGATCTGAGCAGAAGAATGGGATACTTTACCATCCAGACCTATATCCCCTGCACACTCATTGTCGTCCTATCCTGGGTGTCTTTCTGGATCAATAAAGATGCTGTTCCAGCCAGAACATCTTTAGGTGAGACATCTTGGTTTACGTTGCAGTTTCTTAAGATAAGTACCAAATACAAGTAATTTTTATTTCTTTTTCTATGTTGATCTGCTTTAAATTTAGTCAGCAATTACTTAGAAATATCATTTGTTTTATATTCAAGAGAATTGGAATTTTTTAAAAATAGTGTTTAATGTTTTCTACTTCTGTAGTTTGGCTCTCCTTAATTACCTTGACAGGTTTTCTTGAGTAACTTTTCTTAAAAAAATTTAGCTATTTTTAAAAAACCCTTTTAACACTAATCTATTTGTTTGTTTAGGTCTCTGGGTAATACATTGAAGCTACTCACACCAGCTTTGTATTCTGTGATGTCAGATTGGTAATCAGCCAAGGTGGAAATATTAATATGGAACCAATAAAAATCAGGGCCTTTTTTTTTTCTAGAGTTAATTGTCACACATTTACCAGCACACCATTGGCTGTTGGCTATTTCCTACATGCGTAATTGCTGGGATCACATTTGAAGTAACTGGCCCTTTATAGAACAACCATTGAAAAAAGCATTTTTGAGAAAACATATTTACCTTTGAAATTTTTATGGGAAATGAGACTTTTAACTTTGCTCAATCTAACATGCATGGTGATCTTTGCCTTGACTTTTCACATTTTTTTCTTCCCATGGGGAAGACGTCTCCCACAGACTAAAACAAAGCCCAACACATGAGATTTTTTAAACCTTAACTAAAAATAAAGCTAGTGAGAGATTAATAAATTCAACACCCTTTCATCAGCTATGTGAAACCTAGAACCACATCTCTTGCTAACTCTGTCTAAAGAGGCAGTAGTGTATAATAGCTGGGAAATTGGGTTTTGAAGTCCCACAAGTCTGGGTTTGACATAACACATTTAGTATAACTTTGGAATGTCGTTTAATCTCTAATTCACAGTTTCCTCACATATAAAACATGCATCATTTCTTGTACCTAACTTACTGGGTTCTACTAGGGTTAAATAAGTTATTCGATGCAAAGTGCATGTAACATAGTAAAGCCTCAGAAATATTAGCTACTATAGTCATTTTCTGACAGAATAGTATGTACTAAGTTATTAAACTGAGGGCAGAAGTGATTACTGGAGGAAAAAAGACATTATTTGCATATCTGTCCTCTTCCAAACCTAATTTAGTTTCCCATCTGTTTCAAAAGGAAGTTATTTTGATTTTTTTCTGTTATATGTGGTACTTTGTGTTACAAGTCCTTCTCAAAAATTAAAATATCTTGTCTAATGCTACATGCTGAAACAAACCCCAAATATGTTAAGCCTATTACTTTAGGATTATTACTTGTCACTGTGAGTGAAATGTACTGCATCACATGCTTCTATGTCTCTCTCATCAGAATGTCAGTCTTGTACCTCTCTAGTACGGTGCCTGGAACGTGGCTGGTACCTCAAATAATTGTTTGATTGATGTATACACTTATGAAGGGATGGAACAAATACATTGACATATGCCAATCATCCTTTTCCCAAAAACATTTTAAGGAAGAGATTTCCAATGAATCTCTCCTCTTGAAGCCTGGATTCTTGCTGGCCAAAATCTCTCTTATGATTGCTTGGGTAGCTCATTTAACACACTCAGTAAATAAGTATTCACTGGCAAGAGATCATGGTGGAAGAAGAGATCAAGGTGAGTGACTTAAGGAATGAGATAGAGGCCCTTGAGCAAATAGCAGATAGGTGCTTCTGTTTGTTTGTAATTTGTAAGTCAGAAATGTTCAATATGGTCTCTATGTCTTTTCTATTCTTCACAACACCTGCATGTAGAAGTTTCTGTACTGATCATCGTTCTCACAGTTTTTAGAGCTGAGCTAAGGAAGTAGAGGTGCTGCAAGGACACAAGATCACAACATAAAAAGGTGGTAGATCTGGACCTCAGCTCATGGGACATAGGTTTGCTCTGGGTGGGAGGCCTCGTTGAAGGCCAATTGTGGATACAGGTGAGAAGCTGAGCTGAGCCAGTTTCTCTATTTTAACTTTGCTGTCTCACTTTTATAGATCAGTGCTCTTTGAATTTAATTGCACATTTAAGTCACTAGAGGACTTTTTAAAATGTAAATGATTTAGTTCAACCCCAAGAAATGCTTATCTAATGTGTCTAGAACATGACTTAGGTGTTAGGACTGAAAAACAACAACTGGAAACCATCATTCTCAGCAAACTGACACAAGAACAGAAAACCAAACACCACATGTTCTCACTCATAAGTGGGTGCTGAACAATGAGAACACATGGACATAGGGAGGGGAACATCACACACCAAGGCCTGACAGGTGGGGAGCTAGGGGAGGAATAGCAGGGGTTGGGGGATTGGGGAAGGATAGCATTGGGAGAACTACCTAATGTAGATGACAGGGTGATGGATACAGCAAACCATCACCATGGCATGTGCATACCTATGTAACAAACCTGCATGATCTGCACATATATCCCAGAACTTAAAGTATAATAAATAAATTTTTTAGAAAAAGAAAAACAACAACAAAATCCCCAGGTGATTCATATGTGCAGTCACCTTTTAGAATACTGCTCTAGATTTCATTGAGTCCTGTTACTTTTTCCAGTGTTTACAATCCAGTTGAATGAGATGACCTTAAACACCTGTAGACTTTAAGCTTCTTGCCACAGAACAGTTAGGCCAAGTTGTTTGATGAATGAGATAAATTTATCCACGTGACTCAGAGATACTGGCTGTTTTCACAGAGTCCTAGGGTATGGGCAGCCATCATCTTGGAGCACGTAAGAGTGAATGTAGTTTGGTGCCCAGGTGGTAGTTGGTGAGGCATATTCCTGGCTTAGAAACAATGAATGAAATGAAAATACCATTTGGTATTTTTAACCCAACCGATTTGAGGTGAAGTAACATCCCTGAAGAGCTTACTTCATGCCAGGAGCAGAGGAACTGGTAAAAGCTATGGATATATTTCATTTACCCAGCTAAGAAAAGTCTTATTTACTTATGAGAATTAAAACTGTCTTATTGTTGGTTGAGAAGTCAGTTAAAACCATCACTGCTCTGCCTCTCATTATTGATGTCATTGCAGTTCTCTTTCCTGTGGCTCCAGGAGCAGCCCTGAAAATATCATGAGGCAGTTCTTCAAGAGTCTAATTTTACATGGCTGTGATGAATGTCTGTGTAGCCTAAATAACATTTTCCCAATTTGCCGGATCAGTGTTTAACTTCATGTCAGAATTTGTTTCTCCCAAATTATCACATACCACATTTTTAATAAATGAACTCATCTATGATATGTACCACAAATACTGATAGGTCCACTTGTCAAGGGTCAAGTATGGCCTCAAGCCTGATTGTAAAATGAAGGTCAAGGTGCCAATTTAGTCTTTCAATCCTCTGCAAAAATATCAGTTGTTAATAGGTACAATGAGAAACTTTTACATGAATTAGTGCAAAGATGACCTAATTAAATATTTTTAGTTTAAGAAATAACACTTTCCAATACCTAATATTTATTGGGATATTAGTAGGTATTGGTACCCTGTGCTCATTTTTAAATTTAATCTTCCCAAGAGACTTATAAGGTTCCCCATCACTACCGCCATCACCCCTAGTTTATAGATGAGGATCTCAAACCTCCTTAATGTTCTACCCTGACAACATGGAAGACCCCAGACCTATATCACCTCCCCAGTCAGGAATCTATAATAGATCCCATCTGTCTAGCACTTCATGCTGCATATTTTTCATCTACTTATGGGGCTAAAACACTGTGTTTCCAAGCACAGCATTTGAAGCCAGGCTGCCTAGGTTTGTATCTCATCTCCCATCACTTACTAACTTGAGCAAGTTTTTATTCTTCCAATGCTCAGTGTTTGTCACATGTAATAATAATAATAATAATAATAATTACATTATAGAATCATTGTGAGGCTCTTGTGAGATAAACTGCTTGACACAGTACCTGGCCAAAGGAAAAGATCAGTAAATGTTAGCTACTGTTATTTGCAATTAAAACTATCTCCCAAATCCGTAATCATAATTACGGATTCCTATTCTCAAATGTAGATTGAGCATCTTTGATCTCTCGTGTATATACTATGTATTGATTCACTGTTTCACACATTCATTGAACAAATCTTTACTGAGTCCCAGCATGCTGCTCCACTGTAGGGTTATAATAGTCATCAAGACAGATTCCGTTGTCATAGAGTATACAGACTAGAAAGGGAGATCGGTTATTACATAATTGGTAACAGTACAGAAAAAGGACAATGGTACTTATAAATGTAGTTCCCTTGATTACCTCTTTCCTCTATTAAAGGCTACCCTTTCTCCATAGTTATTTCAGCCAACATTAGTGTTTCCACTCTCTGGAATTTCATAACACAATATGTATTTAGGAAACTTTCACATTAAGCTACAATTAAATGACCCAAGAGAACCACATAATTCTTGGAAATGTACCTAACCTCTTCAAAAATGACTCTGACAAAGACTTGAAAATGATTAGGAAGACAATGGCAATTTTATCTACTCTTACTCATCCTTTCTTCAAGAGTGTTTTGCTTCTCTCAATTTTCTTCTAAGCATATTCTACCAGTTACCTACTTCTTAGAGAATAAAAGTGTTTTTTCTTTTCCTGTATGTTACTGGGGCTTTTCTCTGTATCATCCTCTTCTCTTGCTCTCCAAGTCTCTCTACCTGTTTCATCCTAGTTTCCCTAGCACTGCTGTTTGAGACAGGAGAATCTGACTGTCCCCTAGAAGTTTCTTGGTTAGCAGTAATAGTTATAATTGCCATCATTAAATAATGGAAACTTCGTTCTTTTTTTCTTTTCTGTCCCCCGTAAGAAATATAAATCACAAACCTGGAGATGATAAAGTGTGGGATTACTGCTTTTAGAGTACAGAAAGATGCTTCCACTCAGAATTAGAAATTCTGAACTAGAATTGTTGATTGGTAAGCTGGGTGGACCTTCAAAGACTTAGTCCAACAGATGAGAAAACTGAGGGCTAGACTGTTAAGATGATTTATATTCCTGTGGCCTATTTGAATACTGAATACTAGAACCTATTTGAAAACTGAATCCACGTATTTGAATCCAGTATTTAAATACTGAATACTAGAACCTATTTGAATACTGAATTCATGTTGCCTTTAATATAAATAACACAACTTTTTTTTTAGATGGAGTCTGGCTCTGACACTCAGGCTGGAGCGCAGTGGCACAATCTCGGCTTATTGTGCAACTTCTGCCTCCTCAATTCAAGCAATTCTCCTGACTCAGTCCCTACTAGTAGCTGTGATTGCAGGCTCGCACCACCAAGCCCAGCTACTTTTTTATATTTTTAGTAGAGACACAGTTTTGCCATGTTGGCCAAGCTAGTCTCGAATTCTGACCTCAGGTGTTCCACCCACCTTGGATTCCCAAAGTGCTGGGATGACAGGCATGAGCCACCACACCTGGCCAATAACACAACTTTTACTCGGGAATGCTCCTTATCCTTCTCTGGTTGATGAATATCGGTTGCCTTGATATTGTTCTCGGTCACTAAACAACAACTGGAGAGGACAGGTTTGCTTAGGTGCTGTTGTATAATTAGTAAAATAAGAGCTTTGAAATCAAACATGTAATTTCTGTGTTCGGTTCTGTCTGATACTTACTAACTATTGGATGTGGCGCTGGTCCTTTAGCCTTGTTCTTCTCATCTATAAAATTAGAATGAAAACACCTGCTGTAAAGATTCAACAAAACAGTGTACATAAAATACTTATCATTGCTCTTGGCGGAAGGAAGTTTTCAGTAAATATTACTTATTATGCTACTTCTGGGAGATACTTATTTTAATCCTATAATAGTCTAAAAGAATTCATCAATCAGAGGATATCACTTACACATAACCCACCTCCTCTACTTAGCATCTTTGAATAATTTCTCTTTGTACTTTGAATAAAATGTAAACTGTTTGGATGTGCCACATTTTATAACTTTTTTTTTTTTAACCAAAATAGCCTTAATCTTCTTGTCCCTCTCCAGGTGCCAGGTCTTCTAAAAATTTAAAAACAGACAAGATTTCTCTTTCTCAGAACCCTCCCTTAATTTAATAATAATCAAAAAGTTAGTTTCTTCTTAGATTTAAGCTTTACTTTAAACACCGACTCCTCAAAAAAGTCTTCTTTGAGCATTCCATCTCACTAGATCCTCACATCCCTGTATTCTCCATGGCACATACCAAAATGTGACATTATACTTTTCTTTGTTGACTTGATTCACAATGTATCTCTCTCACTAAAATATAAGATACATAAAGGCCAGAGCAAATCTATTCATCAGTGTTTGTCATTTCGACTGATGTATAGTAGACAGGCAATAAATATTTGTAAATAATGTGAGTTAATTCCACTTATACCTCCTTTCCCATTGCAGAAACTATCAGAGGTCATGAAACAAGTGCAATCTCACAAATGACTCAGTTACCCAATTTGCTTATGCAGTCACGTGACCTGTTTCATTGCTCCTCTCTTCAGGTATCACCACTGTCCTGACAATGACCACCCTCAGCACCATTGCCCGGAAATCACTCCCCAAAGTCTCCTATGTCACAGCGATGGATCTCTTTGTATCTGTTTGTTTCATCTTTGTCTTCTCTGCTTTGGTGGAGTATGGCACCTTGCATTATTTTGTCAGCAACCGGAAACCAAGCAAGGATAAAGATAAAAAGAAGAAAAATCCTGTATGTATCATTTCCTATTGGGACCATTGAAATTTTTATCATTTTGGTTTACTTTGTTTTCATTAGCCTATCTACGGGCTAAGGTTCAGCGGTTTGGGCTCCAAGATGAAAACAGAATGTATGAGTGCAGCCAGGCCGTAAGGATTCATTAATGATCATTAATTACTTGAGAGAGACTCGGGTCTGATTCTATTTTTCTCTCTATGTCAGAATTCTTATACAGATATAATTACCTGCTCTATTTTGTGGAGACTAAAACCATTGTTGAGAAATATATTCATCTTCTATTTGCTATTATTCCAGGTTTCACTGATTTTTCTGCCCTCTTACAATTTTATATATATATATATATATGTGTGTGTGTGTGTGTGTGTATGTGTGTATATATATATTTTGAGGTACAGTGTCACTCTGTCGCCCAGGCTGGAGTGCAGTGACATGCTCTCGGCTCTTCCGCCTCCTGCAACATCTGCCTCCTGGGTTCAAGAAATTCTCCTGCTTCAGCCTACTGAGTAGCTGGGACTGTAGGTGCATGCCACCAAGCCTAGCTAATTTTTGTATTTTTAGTATACATGGGGTTTCACCATATTGGTCAGCCTGGTCTCGAACTCCTGACCTCAGGTGATCCACCCACTCAGCCTTCTGAAGTGCTGGTATCACAGGCATGGCCACTGTGCCCTACCATAATAATATTTTTAAATTACTGATGTTTTAAATTACAACCTCCATCTAAGGCATTCCACTAGGAAGCTATTAGGTCCTTGAAGTTTCAAAGATGACTACATTTCTGCAAAAGGTTTGGTGTGTGTGTGTGGAAGTGTGGTGTGTGTATTGTCACTAGATAATTTCAATTGATTTCATTCTCAAAATGTATCTTTTTGTTTTTAAAACAAATGATTTAGTATTATATGGGCAAGTTACTTAGCCTCCTTAAGTTTTTGTTTTTTATGTATATAAGGTGTATTATTTAAAGACACTTGTCTTATGGGGCTGCCATGAGAAATAAATGTGTCAATGAAGGGCAAAAACACCCCAAAATACACATAGTACTCTATACATGAATGTACTTAACATTAGTAGTTGGTGATGACTGTTGATGTTAATGACTTATACAGTTACCAGCCTGGATTGATTTTAGTGTCATGTGATTTGCAAACAGGGAGGATGACTTATATTTGCCAGTAAACTTAAAATGGTGAGGATGAGGCACAACCCCAAAAGCCTAAAGCAACTGTTTTTTATTGTGGGTGTTGAGGAGAGCACACAGTTACCCACTTACACACCTGAACAAAGTGGCTGGCTCCTAGAAGTGCTGATGAAGTTAAGGTTCATTCCCTCCCAAGACATGGGCAAAGCAAATCACCTTACCATCCCGGATTTACAACCTTTCCTGGCCTTCTTCTTTTAGGACCATAATAGTCTCTAGCTATCCAACCCACAGACTTTGAATTGTAAGGAGGGAATTTAGCTGATTCTAGGTTGTATTCTGATACCTCTCTAGAAACCCAAGTGAAATACTACAAGAGTAATGTGTCTGTTTGAATATAAGACTTTGTATATAAAGAAACAAAAAGAAAGAAGCATCATTATTCTTGATTTTAAAAAATGCTTGTCTTTAATTGCTCAAATATTTATAATGCTTTATGAAGTCCTTCCCTTCCCTGTCTATTTTGCCTCTCTCTGACTTTCTATTTTCTCTATCCTTGTTTTATTTTCCTTATTGTGTTGTTTCTGTTTGCTCCCTCCTGTTCACTTTCCATTTCACTCTCCCTCAAGAAGGTAGTTCTATTGAGAGCTGGCATATTACCTGCCAGCTATAACAAGGATGTGAGGACTGGCTTTCAAACAAGTTCTGATGAGGACTTTGGAAAAAGTCCTTTGGCCCTCTCTGTCAGCTATGCCAGAGTGAATTTTGTTGCAGAGATAGAAGCAGATTCCTTAATTCAGGGTCATAGAAATGGCAGAAGAAGAAAAGGCAGAGGAGAACAAGATTAAAATAAAATGAGAAAATGAAATTACCTGAGAATTTCATGCACGTCTCTTTTCAAGGCAATTAGATGATTTATCAGTGCTACCAAGAAAGTAAACTGGGAATGAGAAGCTGAAAGTTTGTTCCTGCATAATATGTCTTTGGGATAATTGTTTCAAGACTCACCTATTAAGCTATCCGTGATGATAATTAGAAAATAAAATTATGGTATTTTTAAACAGGGGAACTAGGCAATAGGAAACTTCCTCACAATGGAACAACTCTGGCCTCTTCAGTCAAATAATCATAGATTAATTTATTTAAAATGTTCTTAGGTAATTACAAAATCCCATTTTTCAACTTTAAGCAAATACTTTATTCCAAGCTTGAAACTGTCCTTCTGTGTTTATAATTTTGGTTCATTTCACTTACTATGTTTTCAAAATGTATTTTTAATTTATCTTGTCTCTCTCTTTTTTCTTTTCTTTTTTTTTTCTCCTTTTTATTAAAAACAAATGCAATTCTCTTTTCTGTCTACAAACCCAAAGCTTCTTCGGATGTTTTCCTTCAAGGTATAATGTTTTTGGAATGGAAATTCACTGCATGCAACTGCTGAATTTAACTATTAATGCTTACATGGTGTTTTATTTTATTTCATGAGTAGACATTTAAGCATTCTACTAGGGATAAGGTTGGAGAAAGTTCTATAGACTTCTGGAGTTGATTCAGCAGCTACGCTCTAATTCACATAGGTTTTAATCTCACACCAAGCTCAAAAGTTACAATCCCTATGCAACGTCGCAGGTAAAGGAGGCTGCTTTATCCATGAAAGCCAAAATGAGCTCCTTCTCTTTAAATAAAAGCGGGATCAAGTCTTACTCACTATACCCACCAAGTTTGTACTCTTTTAAAACTAAAATTTAACTGTAAATCCTAGTTCAGAATGGATTGGTTCATTATTGTTTTGTAAACTTAATGATTTCTGTTTTTCTTAATTCTACCTGTAAGTTCTATAAGAAGAATGTTCTTTTTGAAAGGCTTTGAGTTAAAATATCCATTCCTTATTTCCAGAGTGATCCCTGGGCCTTTTGGCTCTACTATAATATATTACAGTGAGATTTCTATTCAATTATAATAGCTGATTCGGAGATGTTAGAATTTCTGTTTATGTAATCCTAAAACTAAATCCTCCAAATTAACATTGAACATATCATTTAGTTCTATAGAAATTTAATAATTGGTGTAGCAGGAAATTTACCAAGTAGTAACATTCTCTTCTAAATTTCCATTCATATGTGGGTACACATTGTTGACATTCTTAAGCTTATAGACAGTGAATGCTAGCAAATTATCATAGTTCTTTAAAACATAAGGCATACTTTTGTGGTATAAAACTAGGAAAATTCTATATTCATATAGATTTTAACATTTTCTATTAACAGCATTTAATACATTTGCTCAGTGTAATGGGTTTTCTATTTGCCTATAACTAAGCATGACACAATATTTGATTTCAGAATTGATGCATTTTTATTTATCTGTTCCACTCACATGCAGCACCATTAAATGCCTTCATGTAACCTACTTCACATCTAATAGTTGCTAGAATAAGATTCCATGTAGTTTGATTTAAATCTTTAACTTTGAGTTATTTTGGTGTTCAATCTCCTTGCTATAGCTATTAGCTTGATGATATTATTTTCAGCTGCACTGCTTAAGCTCAAAATTTGAAATCTGCAAATGTGCTATCTTTCTAAGTTCAATTTTACCATTGTAGATCATGATGTCATAGCAATTTCCTGAGTACCCATTTTCAGATTCATCATCACATTGGTGACATTGTGGGAAAACAGTCTAGGATCTCTCAAGTGTAACTAACTGATCCCTCTCCTTCCCTACCCTCATCCCAGGCCCCTACCATTGATATCCGCCCAAGGTCAGCAACAATTCAAATGAACAATGCTACACACCTTCAAGAGAGAGATGAAGAGTATGGCTATGAGTGTCTGGATGGCAAGGACTGTGCCAGTTTTTTCTGCTGTTTCGAAGATTGTCGAACAGGAGCTTGGAGACATGGGAGGATACATATTCGCATTGCCAAAATGGACTCCTATGCTCGGATCTTCTTCCCCACTGCCTTCTGCCTGTTTAATCTGGTTTATTGGGTCTCCTACCTCTACCTGTGAAGAGGTATGGGTTTTATTGATATGGGTCTTATTCACTGAGTCTCATGGAGAGATGTCTGTTCTAAGTCCACTTAAATAATCCTCTATGTGGTTGATAATGATCTGAATTTGTTTCTATGTCCAAACCTGGTAAATTTTATAATGTCATATTGTTTGTGCCCAACCCTCCTTTGGTTCATGTACTTTGAACTTCGATGTTTGCTGCGTTTCAAACCTGCAAGGCAAAGTAAAATTACAGCAAGAACATTCAAACCAAATAAGATATTTTTCAGCTACAGCAACTGAAACAGTGAAAGCCCTGACTATTTACAGTGGTGGTATCCTTACTAGACAAGTAATGCAATTAGATAGAAAAGGTCCAAAACTGTACCCTGTGTTCATTTAGGGTCAAGTTGTCATACATTTGATCCCAAGAGAATACCTCCCTCATTTGAGAAAAATCACAACTCACTCTAAATATGAAAGACTAGTCCAGAGATCTATTATGCCTTTATCTCAAGAGAGACAGAAAATTTACTCCACATTCATGTACAATGATGTAAATATTTCAATAACCTAGAATGCTTCAAGTTTAGTGCATGCATCTTTAGATCCCAAATAAATGGATTGAAGTTATCATCCTATTGTCTTTTATTTTGTGTCCTTGGGCTATAAAAGAATCCTGAATGCAATTATAAGGATTTGGGTTTGGAAATGGAGGGAGGAATTTCCATTGCCTTCTCCCTCATGCATGAAGATTCGAACAGCTTATTTTTTTCCTTGTATGACATATTACAACACTTTAAGTAAAATATAGATGGAATAATCAACATTTGCCACCTCTAAATATGCCCAATTTCATAACTAGAGTATAAGTAATTGTATGTGCTTGCCGCTATTTTTTTCTTTTTTTTAGGATGATAGATCATAACAGAACTTATTCTCCATCTCAAGATCTGCTTCTAGTGATTGTGAGTGCCTTGTGGGCAGAATCCTTGTCATTTCCTCTTTGGGTCCATAGCACCTTGCATAGTGCCTGGCACATAGTTGGTGCTCAATAAATATGGTTTGAAGTGAATTGCCCTCACATGCTTCTGACAAATCTCTGTGCTGGCCTGAAACCAGTGATTCATCTTTTCTCATAGGTGTTGTCAAGTGATATTTGATTTTGTAAAAATAACCAGAAAGATCCAAAGAACTTTAGCTATTTATGTTCATCTTCAAAAATTTATTTGAGGCAAAGTCCATACTCTTTTAAAAACAATATTTATGTCCTATGTTTATGTATAGAAATGACTCTACTAGGGCATAATTAGAGTTTGTGTATTATTTTTCCAGGTTTGGGGATGAGTCAGTCCTTACCCATCCACAATTTTGTTTGTGAACTTAAAACAGGAATAAGCAAAATTCATACCCGACTAGTGTTCAGAATGTAGTATTCTGTGCTCTGTGAAGAAAAATAAGTACCGAAGATTAGCTTTTAAAAACTGAAAAAAAAATGAATGACTTGCCTAGGCATAGGTTGCGCCTATGATTGTGGTCTCATTAGATTATATTGTAATCAAATAAAGCAGTTTCTCCAGACTTAAAACATGGTGAGTTGAGCTCTATCTTCATGTACTCATTCTGAATTTGAATCCTTATTTTTCTAAAATAGCAGCCTTTGTTAATTATTTTTATGGAAATTATTGCTCTCTGTTATAATTAAATTATAGCGAGTGTAACTTTACAGATAACCTGAAAAGAGTAAAAAGAAAGAGAGAGCAGCTTTGTCAATATAAAACCACGTAAAGTCATCATCAAGTCATCTGGATGAATCTTGAAACACATTTAGCTGCCAGTTTTACAAACCTTTAATATATCAGTGCTCCAGTATATAACCTCAAACAAATGTAAATAGAACGAATTATTTTCTTGTTTTGAATTGTCAATATATAAAATGTTGACTCTTTGAGAGAGTTGTTGGCAAGTTTCAATGGTGAGAAACATGTTATTGTCAACTTGAAATGTGGTCCGTCATGGGGACACTAAAAAAAGCTAGCTTTTCAATGTGTGCATAGTATTGGCAATATGAATATATATTATATATAATCTAAGGCCTATTATAAGCTGCTCCCTGTCTATGTATTTGGAAACCTTTTCACAAAGGGAATTGCCTAACATGTGGACTTTTACAATAAAAATGCTGCATTCTAATCCATGGTGGCATCTCAGTAGTCTGGTTGGACTGTTTATGTCTTTCCTCTCATTTCCCCAACTCCCCTGTCAGTGGGCTTTACTTGTGAGCTGTGTGACTGTGTTTTGTATGGTGGTATTCTTCACCTCAAAACAATTAAGAGAGGTGTGTGGGTTACAGAGTGAAGAAGAAAGGCAGATATGTAATAAAGTAAAACTTCAAGCCTTCTCTACCTCAAGAATTTCAGTGCGGTTTAACATTAACTCCAGTACTGGACAAAGTTGGGATCCCAGCTTTACTATTTACCAGTTGTTTGACAATTGTCAATTCAGCCTTTAGAATCCTCCATTAAAAATTATGTATTTGTTCATTTGTTTAGGGATGGGGTCTTCCTCCATCACTCAGACTGAAATGCAGTGTTACAATCATAGCACACTAAGCCCCAAACTTCTGAGCTTAGATTTTCTTTCTGCCTCAGCCTCCTGAATAGCTGGAAATACCGACGCATGCCACCATGCCCAGCTAGAAGTCTCCATTTCAGCAGCTATGAATTAGACGTAATAATGCTAACCTATGTGGTGACACTCAACAAATGGTCAAAAGCTCTCTCCCTCACTTCCAATGCCTTCCGTGCACTGCTGTCATGCTTCCTTCACCCTATCAAGCTAGCTTCCCTAATAGAATCCAGCATTAGGCATATAAGCCTTCAAGTGACTCTACCTCACTCTGTTTTATTTTTAGGGGATATTTGCATTGCAAACATTTTAAACTATATGTTGGAAATTCATGTCTCAGTGGAAAAAAAAAACCCTACACATTATGTTATTTATTTTTAAGGCCAAAGAACTGTTATTTGTATCCCCCAAATTTACAAATATATGAAGTTGCGTAGACCTACTCCAGAGACAAGGTCATGTTTTCCTGAAGTCTTTTGAAATTCTTTCAGGAATATAATGTAAACTTCACAACACAGCTGCCCTAACCATCCTCTGCCCCATTCTCTTGACCCCTCCGGTCTCCCTGCATCTAATTTAAACATCTATTTCCCACCTTCCAGACATATAAAAATACAGTTTTAACTTAGATGTTGTCTGCTAACTCAATCCTTTAACTTTAGCTGAGTGTATATTTATTACATTGCCTTCCTTCCTAATATTAAGTCTCAATATTATTCTAACTAGCAGCAACAATTTTTGTCTGCAATGAAGGTCAAATTAAGTTAACCAAATGATGTCGTCTTCAGGGATTATGTCAAAATTTGCTATCTCTATGCTTTGTCACTATGAATCTTTGTCAAAGGTGTAGAATATGGGGGAATGACCTAGGCCAAGAACTCAGCCATATTTTCTGTGCTCAGTGAACTGCCAAGGTCACACAGCTAGTTAATGGCAGATCGGGGGTTCATCTGAGTATTGCTCTCTCCACTGTGCCTCATAGTGTTTCGGAATTTGTAAGTAAAATTCTGGAATAGTTTATCTTTCTGTTACTCTTTTAGGATCTGCCATACTGCAGGATGCTTGCTTTCTTTGATCTAAACCTCACTTTGACTCATTCTATTGCAATCAGACAGAAATTTTAGAATACCTAGTAACAGAGGGAAGTCAATGGATTTTGTATTTCTTTTATTCCCTCTCATGCATAATGACCAATTGATATTTAATATTACCCAGATTGCTTTCAGAATGATGTTTCAAAGAAATATCTTAACAATCCCAGACCTAGAGTTTGCCTTTGTCCTTTAGGGTATGAGTCAGTAGACAACCGAAAATTTTTCGTGGCTCATGTTTGCAGGCTCATTCTTTCTACTATTTGAGCAAAGTGGTCAGGAGTGATCTAACTCTTAGGATTCTAAGGTTAGAGATTATAGGGCAATTGCAAAATCCAGTTGTAACTTTCTTTGCCATATTTTGAATAATAAAGAAATCATTTTTTCTAATTATAGTTTGTATAACTAATTGGAAAAGCAGAGGTTCTTGCTCCAGATTAACTAGGTTCGAATCTCAGCCCTGTCAACTTTTGTCTGCCTTAGTTTTCTCACCTGAAAAAATGGAGATAATATTGGTGTATATCTCAGACTTTATTATAAGAAGAAACAGTTAATACCAAAGAATGCCTGGATGCTAGTAATTTTCCTCAGTATAGATATGAAGTTTCAGAAAGTACAGGGTACAAAGACCATATCTACTTTGCTTAAAAATATTGATCATCATTTGTGAGAACTCTCCTTTCTCATTAACAAAAAAATATGTCACTGGACCAGGGATAGAAATTTCAGTTAACATCCGGAGATTTCCAAATATTCCTATCTTGAGGACATTCAGTTTCTCAGGTAAATGAAAGAATTTGGCCCCCTTTTCTCCAACAGACTTTTGTTTGATCACTTCTCTGCTCTTTGCTATGGCCTGATGGTATTGATTGCCATCTAACATTTCAACTCTATTAAACTCGTCTGTCTCCACACAGCTATCTTGGCTCATTTATCTTATTTCCTCCTTGAGACTTCTCCAAGAAAGTACAATATTCCTAGAATGTCTTTCTCTGCTCAATAGATTCAGCAGTCTCTAATTGAAGACTCTACCTGGTCTGTAAAGTCTTCCCAGTTTCGCTAAAGTTCAATATGCTATTTTCTTTTATCTCTTCCAGTATTTGATGTGACTTTTGAATGGCCTAATCTTAATGTTTGTCTTAGCTAAATACATTCATCCAATCCTCTTAGTAAATAAAATCGAATGAACAATGCTGTGACAAGAATATGTTATAAATAATTCACTATCAATTTGCATCTTAAATCAGGTTGTTTATCTTCTATCTCCATGCTCTATAAATTTGACTTATAGTTTTTTTTCTGTGACTTGTATTTTTTATGAGTGTGAAATTAAGTTCCTCATCAAATAAGTTTTCATTAAGCATCTATATGTTCAGTTTAATATAAAGTTTTCAGTAAATTCATGCCATGGGCCTAATATAGGGCCCTGTGAGTGCCAGAAGAGATAAATTTCAGGTAAGCTCAGGCCTGAAATGTCCATAATATGATAGAAGAGTCAGACGAGAATACACATAACTATAATAGAGCTGCACACAAGTAATTGTAGATAGAATAAGTCATTATTCTAATGTTAGTGAAATCAGAAAAGGGTTTCTCTGCATAAAGAGCATTCCACTACATGTGAGGAGGTCCCATCACTGCTCAAAGGCCACCTTTCTAAAATTACTAATAAAAATCCTATGGACTATTTGAAAACTATGTACAAGTACATAACAATACTGTTCTTAATATGTTAGCAAGAGTTAATCACTAAAATAGTATTTATCATTTTATTTTTGTTTTCCTCCATATATATTTACAGCTGAGGGTTTATTTCCCACATATATTTAAACACATAGATTAGATTAGACAGATGAATAGAGGTATACATATGGCTATGTATCTGCTTTGAAGTCGGAGTTTTCCACACAATTATATGTGTGTCAGTGAGTATATTTAACATAACATTTTCTGGCATTCTATTATTATATCACAGGGCTGTGTCATAATTTATTTACCCTATCCTTTATTTCTGACAATTTGCATTCTTATTTTTGTTGCTATAAGTAATATTAAAAAAATATTTTTGTCACAGGCAATATATATATATATACACATATGTATACATCTATGTATAATATACACACATATATAAAATATATATATATATATCCCTCTATTTTTATAGAATAAATCCCTGAACATGGGCTTTGTTGAATTAAAATGTATAGGCATTTAGCAATTAGAATCCTGGCAGAAAAACAATTGTATACGCCAAGGAGTAATTGAAGAAAAATTAATGAAGGGTTACTCACAAAGATATACACAAGGTTAAAGTCTACCAATTAAACGATAATTTAGTACAGTGGGTCTAGCAGTTATCAACTGAACTAGTTACCTTTGTCCATTGTACGAATTACTATGAACTCAGTGACTTAGAACAACACAAATTCATTATCATATCTGAAGGTCAGAAATTTCAGTGGCTGAGGTCAAGATGTGAGCAAGGCTGCATTCCTTCTGGAGAATCTAGGAGAGAATTGATTTCTTGTCTTTTCTAATGTCTATAGATCTCTTGAATTGCTTGGCTTGTGGCTCATATTCACCTTCAAAGCTAGTAACTGCATCACTCAAATGTCCATTTCCTTCATCTTTCCTCTGGTTATGACCTCAAGCCTCTTACTTACAAGGACCTACATACCTTGTATCCACCTAGATAATCCAAGATAATCTCATCTCCAGATCCTTAATGCCTGCAAACTTCCTTTTACCACATAAGATATCATATTTATAGTTGGCAGAGATTCGAACAAGGACATTTTTGCCTACCACACCACCTAAGTCATTAAAACACAAAAGAAAGGAACAGTTACAGGACCTAGAAAGAGCTGTAGAACAGCTCCACTCCACAGGAGCTGTGACTTTAAACTAATACAGCCACAGCCAAACAGTGGCCAGTCAAGGAGGGAGAGTAGGAATAAGTACTCAGAATTATCTCCTCTCCTACCTAAAGTACACCTAACTGGTCAAATCAAATGGAAACTAGCAGACATGGAAATACAGATAGGGTAGACCAGAGGTCACCCTCATGGGGCATATCATATGGTGAAAAACTTTCAAGAATGAATCCAGAGAAATGAGTAGAAATGATCCAGAAAACCTCTTCAAAAGTAAAGGAGACATTTAGGGTTTTCAAATTGATTTCTATGCCATGGAAAAAGTAGTCTTTGAAAGTTATTACACTGGAATATTACAGACCCAAATATTTTATATTGGGTAATCTGTTCAACCTGAACAACTTTTCAATAGGCTTGAAAATGATCAAGCAAATGCCTTTATACAACTGCTTTCTGGGAGTTAATGTGGGTTAATAGGCAGGCCTCTCGGGTGAGTCCTGTGGCAAGGATGCCAAGTTAGTCTTTGCAGGCCACAGCACCCTTGAGGTATTTTAACAAAGGGTGGACCTTCTGAGCCAATATTTCTCATCTGTTATTGTAGA